TGAGCCGGTGAGATTTGAACCGCTGAACTGCTGATCTAGCAGTCAGCTGAAGTGGCCTGCAGTACTGCACTCTACCCACTGCGCCACCTCAGCTCAATCCCAAAGGACTCCGGGTGGCTTACAAAATACAGGACTAAAAAGATAAAAAGTTAAAAATAAGAAAAGAGAAGAAACTCTAAAGTTACTTATATTAAGCCCTAAAGAACTTTTCTTTTCAAAATTTTTCTCAATGTTTTGATTTCCAAATTCTGTAAAAACTGATTTACTTGGTATCAATGCTGCTTTTCTATTCAAATTGATAACATTTGGCCAGATCTTAATCTGCATACTTCCAGAGCAGTTTGTCAGGCTTTTCTTTCCTATAACCTTTGGGCACGCTTTCTGGTTTTAGAAGTGTCAAACAATCAATAAAAGTGGTGAGTGTGCACTTACAGTGCTCTCATGGGTGGAAGCCGGAAGTCCTGATAATGTTATCAGGGAATGGCTCTGTCCTTGGAAAATCTCTAATATATTGGTGCAGACAAAAGGACTTCGGTTACTTTAGAGTAAAACCCTAGGCGATCAATCATCTTGATTCTGCCTTTTCAATAGCTCGGTAGTGAATGCATCATTTTAAAGTGGGACTTGTCATTATGTACCGTGAAGCCTGCTAAATTAACTTACCTGCCTTCAATACTTGTAGTGGGGCCAGTATACTACAAAGATTCTTTCAGCAAGAGTCATGCCTAGTGTCAACAAAGCAATAAAAAAAGCAGACTCAGTACTGGTAATCTCAGTGAGACACACAATTTTGTTCGTAATCTCAGTGAGGCACACAATTTTGTTCGCTGCTACATCAAAAGACAAAGCAAACATCTTAGCACTTAGGAGTTTTATTGCTTATGGATTAAATAGATACAAAGAATTCTTATCACAGTTCTACTGTGAATCACTTCTGAATGTCTATATTGTATTTCAGTTTTATGAGAAATTCAATTCCTAGTTTTGATCTAATTTATTAATGTGTCTATTAATGTCCATACTAGCAATTACTAATTTATAGCCTACTGAATATACCTAATACAGATAGCCATTGACTTACAACAGTTTGTTTAGTGACCATTCTAAATTACAACAGCATTGAAAAACGGGACTTATGACTGTTTTTCACACTTACGACCACTGCGGCATCCCCATGGTCACATGATCAAAATTCAGATGCTTGGAAACTGACTCATATTTATGATGATTCCAGATGTCCTGGGGTCACGTGATCCACTTTTGAGACCTTCTGACAAGCAAAGTCAATGGGGAAGGCCGGATTCACTTAACAACCGTGCTACTAACCTGACAACTGCAATGATTCATTTAACAACTGTGACAAGAAAGGTGGTAAAATGGGGCAAAACTCACTTAGCAACAGAAATGCTGGGCTCAATTGTAATCATAAGTCAAGGACTACCTGTATGATGCACCCAATACCATGGATGCATGGTTCATTTTCACAGGATTCCAAATAAGACATCATCTATTGCAAGCCTCAATATGTATTTACCATTTTGGCCATATTATTCCTGAATGTGTAGCAAACCAGCTGTGGCCATCAGCAATTGCTAATAATAAATAATGAAACAAAGCAGTAGCAATAGCAATAGCAATAGCAGTTAGACTTATATACCGCTTCATAGGGCTTTCAGCCTTTTCTAAGCAGTTTACAGAGTCAGCATATCACCCCCAACAATCTGGGTCCTCATTTTACTCACCTCGGAAGGATGGAAGNTATTACAATGATTTGAATGGGAAAACGGATAAAAATCCATTCCTTCTACATCTACATCCGTGTTTCCCAACCTTGGCAACATGAAGATGGCTGGACTTCAACTCCCAGAATTCACCAGCCAGCGAATGGTGGCTGGGGAATTCTGGGAGTTGAAGTCCAGCCATCTTCATGTTGCCAAGGTTGGGAAACACGGAGGTAGATGTAGAAGGAATGGATTTTTATCCGTTTTCCCATTCAAATCATTGTAATATTATGCGGGAGATAGGATTTTAACTAACCACTGGTGTCTTAATTCCTTTCATTTTGTTTTGAACAGCTTGTCCCCAAGCTTAGGAATGTTAAGGAAGTACGGGTGGTCCCCCACTTACAACAGTTCACCATTCAAAGTTACAACAGCCCTGAAAAAAGCAACAGGACCGTTTTTCACACTAAAACAACCATGCCAGCCTCCTGGTGGTCACGTGATCAAAATTCAGATGCTTGGCAACTGGCATGTACTTATGCCGGTTGCAGTGTCATGTGATTCCCTTTTGCCACCTTCTGACAAGCCAAGTCAATGGGGAAGCCGGATTCACTTAACAACATGTTACTAACTTAATAACCACAGCGATTCACTTCACAACGGTGGCAAGACAAGTTGTAAAATGGGGCAAAATGGCCTTAACAACTGTCGCTTAGCAACAGAAATTTGGGGCTCAACTGCAGTCGTAAATCGAGGACTACCCGGACTTTCTGTATCTGTAAAAAGGTTTGGACACATCAAATCTTTTCCTTTTTAAGTGGTTCTGATATATTACTAGAAGGAGACATCTTTAAGGTTCAAAGCATAACTTAATGAAATTTGTGAGTTTTCCAACTTTTGTAGCAATGAAAAGGCAATATTGGGCAATAGGATTCAGGATGCTCCAGGTTTAACAGGAAGTTTAAAAACTAATCTGTAACAATTTGAATAAACATCATACAATACTATTACTTTGACATAATAGAAACGTACTAATTTTTCACAAGGTTTAGCTTTTTTTATATATATATTCATTCTTTTTTTTTCTTTTGTGCTGTTTAAGGTTTTTTTTTAGGTATATATAATTTACTCAAAAAGGTTGAAATGGAATGCGTTAATTTGGTTCTTAACCATTATTACTGCTATTATTACTAGTACTACTATAATTAACTGTATTGGTCTGAAAATTCAATAAAAATTGCTATTGTTCGGGAAAAAAAACAACACTTTTTTCCCCTCCTTCAGTGGCTTTGATAAACCTTTAAGATGCTGGAATCTGCACCTTTTATATTTTTTAAACTTTGCTTTTTTTTAAAAAGTGAGACGTAATTCCCAGCTTTTCTCCATGTGTATTTGTCAGGAGCACACTAATGTAAAACTCTTTTTCTACTTTCTTCACAACCACAAGTAATTTGATCACAGCATCTGGTCCATTGCAATCTACTCAAGGTGCATGTATACAACATTCAGTTAATGCAACAGGAATTATCAATGACCAAGAGCAACAAGCATCTTGTAACAGCATTCTATCACTGACATCATTACAGCACATTTATCATTCATATGTCTTTTTTCCCCCCCAAACAATTACTACAGATTTGTTATTCTGACTTCACCTTCCCATAGGTTAAAACACTGCTCTTTCCATTGCTTGGTTTTATTGCATGGCATCCAACGTTCCAATTATCTGATTCATTTACCTTTTTTATTTTTGTTCTTTGTTCAGACTGGGGGGGTTTATAGCATCCTTATAACTCTTTGGGGTCAGCACAATCACCTCTCCTGCATTGCTATGAAATATGAACTTGCTTAACAAACTTGACCGAAATGTTTCTTTTTGCATGCTTGCTGTTACTCGACAACTTACTGCTTCAGAAGAATCAGGATTCTCCCCCCACTCAAGTTCTCTATATACTTATTTCATATTTTTTTTAAATCCATCTATTTACAGAGTCCCACGGAATCAAAGAACTAAGCTCACATCATTCTACTCTTAGGCTTCCCCAATAAACCTCCCACCAGTCCCCCCACCAATGAAGAAATGACCACACCATTCATCAAGATGTGTGAGATGCGATCTATTTCCTACATGATTTTAGAAGATAGCTCGACTTTCTAAAAAAGAAAAAAAAAAGGTATTGCCATCTCCTTCCTCACGATCAATATCTTAGAAAAATGCTCTTCATCCTCTTGCCTAGATGTGGAATGCTGTGCTAATCGAGGTTTAACGTCACAGTGAATCCCAATAAATCTGGGCACAAGCTTCTGTTGGAAACCTAGGCTGGGTTTGCAACAGAAAGGTAGCATCTGAGGTCTTTTGGCTGTTGAACGGTGATGGGATGAAGGGAGAAAGGAAGCAAGACACGAGCGTTAAGGAGTGCCCCTTGCAGACCAGGTGACATCTTCAAGGAAGCAATCCCAAGGGTCCAGCACAGTTGCTCAGTCGGAAGAGGTGATGGCTCGTGAGCAGCCCGGTCTATCAAATATTGCATCTTCTAGCACGTGAAGTTAAACCCTCATCTTGAAGAGTATCAGAAAGTATTGACAACCAGAAGTGTCCACTTAATTTTTTTTTAAAAAAAAAGATCAGTGCTTTTAGTCCTGAGTTAGGTATGAATCCAGGACTTCCTGTTAATTTCAGAAGATCTTCCAGGAGACATCCGAAAAGGTCTACCTCTTGGGTCCTCCCACATCGGCACTCCTTGAAGGATCTCCTGCGCTACAAGGTGAGTGCAGCTCTGTTGCCTTCTAAAAATGCGCAACTCTTTTTAAAACAGTTGGTTTCTTCAATCTTTCAGGTTAAACTTGATAGACTCAATTAGAAAGAGACGGGTTGAATCAGAGATGGGTTTGTTGTTGTTGTTGTTAAAAAAAGGGACAGCATTGAGACCGAAAGAGATGGCGAGGCACTCAAGGTTCCAGTCTATGCATAAAATTCCTCCTGCTTGTCAGGTTTTTGGTATGTGACACTTGCCTGCTTGGGCTCTTCCAGCGTGTAGCTTCCTTCATCTTTCTTCTTCATCCGATAGATCAAGAGCATCACCAGGAAGGCTGCGAAGAGGGCCCCAACGACCCCTCCCACAATCACAGCTGCAAAGGGGCAACAGAGGAAAGTTAGCAAGATTCGTATCTGCTTTTGCCTTTCGTATAAAAACAACAAAAATTTTAAAAATAATTTTAATAATAGTAAAAGCCTGAGGAAGTAGGGAGGGATGGACAGGTG